GTTGGTGGTTATGAAATCACCGCGGCAATTCGACATGGCGGTTGTAATTCATTCTCTGCTGACTGCAGAAACCCGGTAAGTCACGAATGCTGAAAACTAGCTACTTCCAAACCTGGGATTTGTTGGTGTTGTTCACTTTTCTGTGCAATGTATGTTTCCTGATCTGTTATCTCTTGTTAGCCTACGGTGCTTCTCCTCTGTTGCTGTGGAACTCTACTTTTTCATGGAAGGTCAAGTTTGGTGCAGCATAGCAATTGTTTTTGCTGAGCCAAGCAAGCTACAACCTTGGAGCAGGATTGCTCTGCTGCTAGATTTAGAGTTCAAAGGTGGGGTACACTGGCTAGTGGGACCCAAATTTGCTTGATTTGTGACCGACAAGGCGACGATAGAGGCAGCCATGACTGTTAACGAGCATAATCTAATTGAATCGGCGTAGGTAATTAGGCCTGACATATATTGTTGTGATTTGTATCGATCATGATATGATTTGGAAACACTTCAGTACTAACCAAAATTGACGAGAAATTTCATCATCACATGCTTAAAACCTTGGTGGAGTGGAAACAAATTTATTTCCTCGTTCCCAGCAAAAGGAGTATATTTTTTGCTCATACCAACCTCTGGTGTCGTTTACATCTTAAGAGCATCTCCAACAGTGGCGGAGCTTCATGGGGGCCAACCTGGGCGGTGGGCCCCCCAGCTCAAAGGAGAAATTGCATATATACCTATGTATTTGACCATTTTTTTCACTAAAAAACAGCATATTGTGATTTTATTTGCCCCCCTCCAAGCCAATGGCCCCTCCATGATTTGAGCCCAAGCTCCGCCACTGATCGCAGTCGCGCTTCGCGCCGCGCGCTAAAAACTAGTTTGCCGCGCGCCGTTCGGCTGGTTTTGCGCGGCCGCCAGTGCTGGCTCCAACAGCCGCGCTAAAATGCAGCGCGCGCGCGTCGCTCCAGCAGCGCGTAAAAAATGCAGTGCGCGTGACTCGCCGGGGCATTGCATATATGACATTTTGGACACAAAATGAATTTGAAACATTCAAAATGCAATGAACATGACATATAAAATTTCACACAAACAAGTAGATGAATAAAAGTTCATGCCCACAACTTCAAAATCATGCCCACAAGTTCATCCAACCAAGTTCAAAATGCTAACCAAGTTCAAAACACAAACGAAAGAAACATCAATCCTCTTCCTCGTCACCCGCGCTAGGGTTAGCGGCGGCGGCGGGAGCGGTGGAGATGTCGCGGCTATAGGATGGGGTGAGCGAGGTGCCGGCGCGTGCGTCCATGGGTGCAGTTTGCCGGCGCCGGCGCGCGCGGGGCGTAGGAGGCAGAGAGAAGAGAGTGGTGTGCCGCGCGCGAAAGCGGACGTCCCAAATACACCGCGCGAGATAGCGAATCCAACTGCGCGTCCAACTCCTCATACCGCGCGCGCGGTTATTGCGCGCCCGCAGGAGCCACCCGTCGGGAACGAGCGCGGCTGCTGGAGATGCTCTAAAGAACGTTATGGCCGCAAGGCAGAGGCACTATGGACGGGGTGGATGCGAATATGCGACTGAGAAGTTCTTTTTTCTGACTCCGATCGAGAAATTGTGTTGGGTTGGTAGTGTTTAATGGGCTGTGGTGCGCCGACCGCTTAACAAGTGGCGCATTGGATCCAGTCAACTTGCGCCTCGACGATTATTTTAAAAAAATATCTCAATTTTTTTTTTAAAAAAAAGACTTGCGCCTGGACGAAGTGCCTCCGGCAGCAAGATTACGGTCGTGAACAAAGCTGTGTACCCGCACCACAGCGAGGCGAGCGACATTTCGACCCCGAGAAGTGAAGAGTCCAGGTCCAGCCATGCAACAAGGCAGCATACGCACACCAAGCAGATTAGCCAGGAGAGAGCATGCATCATCATGCAGGCGGTCACCGGCCGCCGGCGATGCTGGCCGAGGCGCTCGCGGTCGCGGTCGACCGGCTGCCCGCCTCCTTCCCGCCGGCGGTGGCCGCCTTCCTGCGGCTGCTGCTCCGGGCGTGGGGCGCGCTCTCCGTGCCGCTGCTCCGGGGCGCCGTGATGCTGTGCATGGCCATGTCGCTCATGGTGCTCGCCGAGAAGGTCCTCCTCGGGACCGTCAGCGCCGCGGCCAAGCTGCTCCGCCGGCGCCGGCGGCCCGGGAGGCGCGACGTCCCCGTCCAGCCTGACGTCGAGGCTGGTGGAGGTGGTGGCTCCTCGGCCTGCTTCCCCATGGTGCTCGTCCAGATCCCCATGTACAATGAGAGAGAGGTACGTATCTACTATGCAGGATGTCTCAGTTAGTTAACTTGATTTGTTCTTGTGAGATGAAACTCGAGACGATGGATCGAGCTCCACTGTCGAGAGTGATGGAGGTAGCTAGCTAATAAACTTTGAAGAGGTGTGGTGCGTGGTAGCTAGGAATTACAGTAATTTAGGGCGGAGCAGTTAACCTAGCGTGCATGGATGCATGCATGCACGGCGCCCTACTGACAATCGTACGTGACCATACTGTAATGTAAAAAAACGAACAGGTGTACCAGCTCTCGATCGGGGCGGCCTGCAGGCTCACGTGGCCGGCAGACCGATTAATTGTGCAGGTCCTCGACGACTCCACCGACGCCGCCATCAAGGTAGATCGATGCTCCATCCGCCACCAACTTCTTCTCAGCCAAGTTGCCATTGCAAATCGTCTTCAAGTTCATCTGCATGCAATGCAAACGCAGGAGCTGGTGAGGGAGGAGTGCGAGCGGTGGGCCGGGAGCGGCGTGGACGTGAGGTACGAGGCCCGGGAGGACAGGGCCGGGCACAAGGCCGGCAACCTCACGGAGGGGATGCGCCACGCCTACGCCCGCGGCTGCGAGTTCGTCGCCATCTTCGACGCCGACTTCCAGCCCTTGCCGGACTTCCTCACCCGCACCGTGCCGCTCCTCCTCCGCCACCCCGGCCTCGCGCTCGTGCAGGCGCGCTGGGAGTTCGGTACGTTCAATGGTGTATGCACCGCGCGCTGGAGTTGGTGGTTGCTGAGACTGAGCGGAAGTAATTTTGAGCTGCTGTTTGTTATAACTGTACGTAGTGAACGCAGACGAGTGTCTGCTGACGAGGATGCAGGAGATGTCCATGGACTACCACTTCAAGGTGGAGCAGCAAGCGGGGTCCTCGCTCTGTAACTTCTTTGGATATAATGGTATGTATTCTAGGCATTGCTTGCCATTGGTTCAATAATGTACCATAAAGTATATTATATTACTCTATGATGTACGGACAGAGGATTGCAATGCCCTCCGCCTGGAATTACTTGTCGTTTAAATGGATGTATCTATCATGCAATGGGCATATCGTCCACCGTTGCTTTGAGATTCATGCTCTCTTTTCTTGGGCTATTTTTGTCCATTTTTTAAATCTTTGCAAACTACAAGAGGCTTCTATTTCTTGTTTCAAGGTGTATAATAACGTTTCGTTGTGTATCAAAAATTAACACCCTTGTGTTGCAACAGGGGCAACTTTATTATAATGGTTTAACGTAGGAAAATTTTGAGTGAATTGAAATTGAGATATGTTAGGGCCTGTTTGGTTCAAGTCGGGTGACTTAAAACCAGTGACTTATAAGTCACGCCTGTTTGGTTATCACCTGACTTATAAGTCACCTGATCACACCTTCCCACACCAATCCACATCATGCAGGTGGTGGGACCCACGCAAAAGGGGGTGACTTATAAGTTTTAAGTTGGGGTGGAGCAACTTATGACTTATAAGTTGGGATGACTTATAAGTTGGGTCTATTTGGCAAAATAAGTCTTTTTTTTCACTTTTCAACTTATAAGTTGATGACTTATTTGGAACCAAACAGGCCCTATACTCCCATCTAAGGGTAGAAGTTATGTCAACAACTAAAAAGCATAGCACGGATCTCAAAGTAGCAATGGATGATGGATGTTGTATGCACGGTATACCCGTGCATGGTAGAAAAATCACCGCATATACTTGCTCCTCTTCTGTTTATTATATCCATTTTAAAATGGACATCCTATGGACCAGCGAAGAAATTGCACAATATTTTATAGTTTCAGTCGATTCTTTCCTCTATAACTCTCTTTTGGAGAAACTACCTTTTTACTTCACACCAATCTTTTATAACAAAATGTGCAACTTTTTTTATCTTTTCCTTGTCCCTTTTGTTTTTATTTATAAAATACACTGTTGCATTTTGAAAATGTGCAACATATGTGTTATTGAAATGTGCAACATGTGTATATAAATGTGCAACTAAGTATAATATCTTTTATTTTAAAGCTTTATTTAACCAATCACACTATAATTATACAATAGTTCCACATATTTTTATTATTTTTGAATTTTAATATAATAATAATGTTTTTGTGCTAATATGGATTTTTCGTGTCTTTCTTCCAGTGAGAAAAAAAATTCTAGCAGAGTAAAATTTACGAAAATTCTTTTTGACTTGTGATTTGTTGGAGCCATAGAAAAGTCACTATAACCAAGGATAGGGTAACTAAGTGCTAGACCATGCAGTACTAATGAATTATGGATGATCAACTCTGTTTTTCACAAAAAAGGAAAAAAAAACTCCGTTTTTCCAGATTAGTTGGTTTTACATCAAAAACCTACATTAGATAGAAATTAATCTGTTTTTATTCAATTTCTGCCTGTTTTCAAAGCAAGAATCCTTACAAATGGAAATTTTAGTTTTTCAAAGCAAGAAACCTTACAAATTGAATTTTCAGGTTTTCTAGAAAAGTGTAATAATAAAGTGAAAATGAGTTCAGTCGTACACTCCTGGATTCTACTATTAGTTGTTCTTGGTATGGGAATGACTTTTTGTACACTTATTATTCAGGAAGCGCCGGAGTATGGAGAAGGCAAGCCATCGAGGAATCGGGTGGGTGGGACGACCGGACCACCGCGGAGGACATGGACCTGGCGCTCCGAGCGGCGCTCCTCGGCTGGGAATTCGTCTACGTCGGCGACATCAGGGTGAAGAGCGAGCTGCCGAGCTCTCTCGGGGCGTACCGGTCCCAGCAGCACCGGTGGTCGTGCGGGCCGGCGCTCCTCTTCAAGAAGATGCTCCGGGAGATCGTCGCCGCGGAGCGGGTGCCGGCGTGGAAGAAGCTCTACATCGTGTACAACTTCTTCGTGACGCGGAGGGTGGTGTCCACCTTCTTCACCTTCTTCTTCTTCAGCGTGCTGCTGCCGGCCAAGACGCTGTTCCCGCAGGTGCGCATCCCGGCGTGGCAGATGGTGTGCGTCCCGACGGCCACGACGCTGCTCAACTCGGCAGGCACGCCGTGGCGCCGGTCGGCCCACCTGGTGGTGCCGTGGGTCGCGTTCGAGAACGCCATGGCGCTGCACCGGTTCAAGGCCATCCTCATCGGGCTCTTCGAGGCCGGCCGGGCCAACGAGTGGATCGTCACCCGCAAGTCCGGGAACGGTAGGCCGGCGCCGGGCGCGGAGGGCCGCCGTCTGAAACAGCGGTGCGGGCTCCATTGGCTGGAGCTGCTGGTCGGCGCGCTGCTCCTGGCGTCCGGGTGCTACGACTGTGTGCACGGGCATGGCTATTTCTACCTGTTCGCGCTGCCCCAGTCGGTCATGTACTTCGCCATTGGGTTCGAGCTCTTGGGCGTCCATCACGCTTCATAGAATAAACGTGCTTGCTAATCTTTAGGTGCCTGAAAAAAAATGCGTGTCAGTCCATTTTCAGCTTCGCGCGAGACAGAAGGCGGGGACAATGTGAGGAGCGTACCGACGAGTGTCGGCCATGGCGAGACCAAGCTAGGATCTTACCGGAGACGGTCATGACACTGCGAGCGGTAGGGAGTTGTGGCGTGCCAGGCGGAGGCGAGGAAGCAGGTTAACAGGTGTGCGGGTGCGGGAGTTGCCGGAGTTTCTGCAAACCAAGGGGAGTGTGGGTGGGGCTTAGAGGGGTGGTTGCGGCGGTGAGGGCATTGAGGGGAGGGCGGGGCGTCGAGGTGGTGCATGGTAACGTCAAACGGCTGCGGGGATGAAGGTCGGCGGTTAGGGACTTAGGGCTGGGCCGGAGGGTAGCTGCATCGGGAGGTTCAAGACCTGCTACTTCACTGGAGGTTAGCCCTTGACAAATACAGAGTCCTTGTCTTCAACATCAAGGCTTCCAGAGTCTTCATGTATCTCGCCATAGGCCGCACAACATGGCCCAGGGTGGAACCGACTTAGGGGTCCTCATCTCAGCCCACCAGGCGGGGAACCGTAATGGCACGCGGCCCCTAAACTGGGACACCGACACAGATGCTCGCGTTGGGTGTCTGGAGACGCCTCCCTTAGTGCGTCCAATCTACGAGCTCCGTGCTCCAGCCGGGTGAAGGAGCCGCGAGAGGTAATCACAACACCAAGTGGTTCCTGCTGTCATTGATGTGGTGCCCGGTTGGAGCAGCTTCATCCCTCGAAGCCCAGGAACCCACGCGCAAACCTTCAAGTGAAGCCACAACGCCTTCGTAGCCTTTCCCCTCCATACACCAACATGCAAACAAAATGTGTTTTTCGCTACAACATAGCGATCCAGGACAAGTGGTCCAAGGCGATTTAGAGTGTGTCAACACCGACTGACCAGTGGGACCGAAAACGGTTTGAAAGACAAATCGCTGGGGGCGATTTATTTCCTGAGACCTTAGGCCTTGTTTGTCCGGGCTTCACCTTCGAAACAAAAACATAGCTTTGAAACTAAAATAATTTGAAAACTGAAATGATTTGTCATGTGTATATATGAAAATTTGCCAAATGTCCAACAAACAATCGTATAGCTCTAAAATTTAATTTGCCAAGACATGTAAATTTCAATGTACATGGCAAATTCATAGGAAAAAATTCCCATCTAAAACATTATTTTGTTACCTGAGGGACTTCGAGATGGCAAACCCATGGTCTAATTAATAAAATGTCATGGATTAAAAGAAAATTGCCGTGCTACCTACAATTAAACTACAATCGGCTACCTACATTTTTTTTTGGCATGGTCCAATATAACCATGGCCATTTAAATTTGCCATAGTCCATAAAGTTTATTGCCATGCCCCATAAAGCAAATTTACCATGGTTCCTAAAAAACATGGCAAATTCTCTGTAGATCATGGCAAATATGGGATAAAAAGGTACTTATATCAAGACAAGATCAAATTAATAAATTGTCATGATCAAATTACTAAATTTTCCATGGAAATTCTAATATATTTTCCATGCTAAGTCTATATTTTATTTGCCATGGTTCAAGACAATTGTATATATATGATGGCAAAAGTACGACATATTATCAAGGCAAAAATGTTGTGTTGGCTAGTGTCAATAAAAAACTATTTATTAGAGTCATGGGAAAAATATTTGAGAACATGGCAAATCTTGCAATTTGTTTCCTAAAAATGTTTCAAAAATGCCATGGGAGCAACATGTTATTATGCCATGCCACAAGAAACAAAGGAATTGGAATGGGCTCCCAGATATCAATTACACACCAAATGTTCCCCGCATTCCTGATTATAGCCACATGAGCACATGACAAAAAAATGTAGAAAAACAAGTCTATAAAAGATCAAGACAAATGCATACATACAAGACAAACACATACTCTCTCCGTTTTAAAATAGATGACCCAACTTTGTACTAACTTTGGGAGTACATACTATACATCTTCATGGCAAAATGTTAGAAAATATACTACCAATGGCATGGCAACTTTAATTTGCCATGTGTAAACATATTAAAGTTGTCAGAGAAGCAAACATGTATAAATTGCCATGTGCAAAAACATCTTAAGGCAGACCTAAAAACATGTTCGATGTACTCCTATCCTATGCAGTACATTTACTTTCTTATGAAACAATTCACACTCTATTCTGTTGCCCTAATGTCACAACCACTTCTGTTATAATATCATGCATGCCAAAACCTGGAAGTGTCACTCTAATGCTGAAACCAACTATTCTAGACTACTAAATGCATGGTTTCGGTTTGGACGAATCAGGCTACCAACTATTCTAGACTACCAATGTTATGGGGAAGCACCGATTTCCGAAGGTGCGACGAATCAGGCTCTCCTCCCTTCTCGCCATCTCAGGGTACCTCATGCGTTCTCCCTCGCCCACTGGCACAGCGCCGGGCGCTCCTCCTCGGTGAGCAGCCACACCCCGGCCATCTCCTCGAACACCCCCAGCCAGCGCGCCACCCCGCTGGCGGCGATGTCGAGGAGGCCGATGGCGTCGCCGCCGAAGAACCGCTTCCCCGCCGGCAGCTGCGCCTCCAGCAGCGCCAGGCCCTCCTTGGCCTCCCTCGCCGCCGCCGCCCGCGCCTCGCCCGGCTCCGCCCACAGCGCCACCCACAGGGCCTTCCAGCACTGCACACGTTCGCTTGTACTACTGATTAAATCAATGTACACTCTGTACTGTTCACCAGTGAGATGCAGATCTGCTGCTCACCTTGTCGTCGAGGAAGCGGGCCCAGAAGCGGGCGTTGGCGCGGGCGAGCGGGTCGGCGGGGAGCAGCGGCGGGCCGGCGGGGAAGGCCTCGTCGACGTACTCGACGATGACGAGAGATTCGGCGATGGAGCGGTCGCCGTGGAGGAGGACGGGGACCTTCTTGTGGACGGGGTTGTGGGCGAGCAGCAGGTGGCTCTTGCTGGCCATGTCGTCGTGGAGGAGGTCGTAGGGGACGCCCTTGAGGCGCAGGGCCACCTCTGCCCGGTGCACGTACGGGCTCAGCCAGCCGATGAGCCTCACCGCCGGCCGTTCTGAAGGCGTCTCCATGCGCGCCCGATCGGTCGATTTCTGGCTAGATCCGGCCTCCATCGATCGGATATATATATATATATATATATATATATATATATATATATATATATATATATATATATAGAATAGTTGCATCTCGTCGTGGTATGCAGTGTGTTTGGCCGAAACTTCCCGGTGGCTGGCACGGGTGGAAGCTACCTGCCGCCGCTGCCGCAGCGTCGCCGTGCGGCGACTGCCGACACGAGCAGAGCAAAGTGGCTTGGAGCAGTGTCACTTGAGCAGCACGGCAATCCTGATGGTCACTGTCGTTCTCGATCAGGGGGCATTTCGCCATCTTCATATGCAACAAGACTGTCGTCGCTGGGTTGCGGCCGTTCCCTCGCGGCATCTTATCATGGACAGCCAAGCTGTATGGTGAACAGGTGAAGCCTTCCGTGGATTCGGCGAATTTCACCAAAGTGCAAATCGTGTTTCAAAATAGTGCAAGGATACGCGGACATTCCTTTTCCATTGTATACTTTTTTTTAAATGGTTCACATTTAGAAATGGAACGTACATTTTTTTTGAATGGTGTGAAATATTTCCTTTTGAATCACACAATTTTTAACATAGTATAACATTCTTAAAAATATAACGTACTTTTTTGAAAATTGTTTCGAACCAGTCAAATATGTATGTGCCATTTTTAAAACGTATTAACGTGTTTTGAAAATAAGTTCCACAAGGTTTGTATGATGTAAATAATGTTCCGAAGGTTTAAAAATAATGTTTCGTATCATGCAAAAATATATTCAACATGCATTTGAAAAATGCTCAAAACATATAAATAAAAATGTAACATTTACTTGAATAATATTCATCATATATATGAAAAATGTTCAACATGTACCAAAAAATGTTTCACGCGTATACCAAGAACATTAATTTGTATTGAAATAAGTAGTCATGTATTTGAAAAAAACTATAAAAATAATAGAAAAAACCAAAGCAAACCGATAATAAGACACCAAAAAAACATAAAGAAAAGCCGATACAAAAACAAAGAATGAAACAAAGGGAAAGGAAAGAAAAACAAAAAGTCAAAAAGAGAGAAGGACAAACAGAAAACAAAAGCGATTTACATCGGACCGAGGAAAGGCCAGTTCACAATAGAAGAATAAACGCTACCTACATGCGTAGAAAAACCACTTGTTGAGTTGCTTAAGACGATATAGAGCTCTGCCTCACAACGCGTGAGGTATGGAAATCACTAGTTAAAGGGCATTCCTTTAAAAGATCACTTACATCTTCTCTGGTGGTGACAACTGTCGCACTCATTGTCATGACCTATGAGTTTTATGCTTTTTTTTCATAGATTCATTTTTCTAAACATTTTATCTCTTGAACCATGCTTCCCAACCACTAACCTTTTCTCCATTGCGTTTCTCGCATCGAGATTTTAAAAGCTACCTGTGCTTCTACAAATCACACAGATCCAGCAAGACGAGAAAAGAGTGGACCGGGCTGGCCCATTTAGCTAACGCTATGTGTGCACTCAGAGACTCGGTTTTCTTTTTTTGTTTTAGGAATTTTTTGGTTTGTTTTTTATTCGTTTTTCGGTTATTTTCTCTGCCAATTTTACTTTATTTTTCCTTTTTGCTCAGTTTTTTCAATATATATCTAATAATTCCTTTTTTATCTTTCTGTTTTCATTTCTCTTTGTCAGGTTTAATTTATTTTTTTACAAAAAGGTTTAATATTCAAATTGTTCACACTTTAAAAAAATGTTTGTGTTTCAAAATTGTTAAAAATTGTTAGGGAACATTCTTTGGATTTAAAAAATGTTCTCGTTTACAAGTTTTGGTCAAAATTTCAAAAAAAAATTGCATTTTCAAAATTCCTTAAACAAAATAAAAATTGTATAGGAACTTCAAAAAAAATATTTGCGATTTCAAAAAAATGTTCGGAATATCAAAATGCCGATGGCTGTGAAATTTGTTCACGTTTCAGAGTTCGGAATTTCCATAAAGGTTTGCGTTTTAAATAAAAATCAATTTTTTAAATTGCTACACTTTTAAAAATATGGCCCGGCCCAATACAAAGAGCAACCTCTGCGTGGCTGTCCAATGGCTCCCACGCTCGCACCGCCGGCAGCCGCCCGTGGGCGAGGGGAGGGTAAAAGTGGGATTACTACAACGAATACTCCTTAAATTGTGGGAGTTTATTCAGTAAAAAAAAATCACCTTATAGACTTAAAGAAATGAAACGGCGGCCACGCTCACCCTAACACTGTACGGCCAGACAAACGTTGTGAAGGAGTAAACTGGCCGGCCGGCCGGTCGCCACTCGCCATCAGATAGGCCGATGTTCATGTTTATGGTTAGAAACTTGGCGGGGTGCGTGCGTGAGTGGGTCGACGGTCGACTGCCTCCCGCCAAAAAAAAGAAGTGCGTCGACTGCATATGTAATTAAAAGTGAGAGACAGACACAGAGAGAGAGGGAGAGAGAGAGATCAGATCTGGCATTGATGTATGATGATCCCTGATGCTTTGTTTGACTCCAACATCTCCATGCCAGCTCGTGATTCGTTGACTCCACATTGAGTTTTCTTATACAAGCGCTGCAGTGTGCATGGATAGATCTTCTGTCTGACTCCTATGGTGGCCTGCATGTGGACAATGAAGCCACACTATTACAAGATCATCAAAAATGTCAACTTCCATGTGCCTGTGGAACCTCCAAACAAAACACGCCTGATCATTGTTACCGCCATTTCGCAGATTAACACATGGTTTGGCATCTTGCGCATTCCTTCGGGTCCACCACGGCACAAGTCTTCTCTACTTGCCTTCCAACATTGTGATTTTGTGTACGTCTGCATTACGCCGGACGATGTTTCTAGAAAAAGGCAACCGCCACGCCTTTTCATATCGAAAAATAAATTCCAATAACGACGTCAATTTTACATATTTTTATCTTGTGGTTTACGATCAATCGTTTCGTTTTACGTCTACGAGCTATAACTCCATAGAATGTTTCTAAAGCGGAGCTGTAATTAACCGTAAACATTACTCCCCCTTTTCGGTTTATAGGGCTTATCTCAAAATTTTAGTTTTTCCATTTTATAAGGCTCAATTTGGTTGTTTCCCGTCACATGTTTAGATTCTAAGGTGCATTAAATCACTGCATGCAAGTATTAAGAGAAAATTGACCAATGCATGTCATGCATGCAAGTATTAACAGAAAATTGACCAATGCATGTCATGCATGCATTACAATTAATGCATTGGTAAACATGTTTTTTTTGAGGAAAACAAAAGCACTAATTGGGTGCTTTTGCAAACTACAAAAAGTATTCCACCGCCCACTCACCATCTACCTTGGTTAATGAGATTTTTGAATTGAGCCCTATAAACCGAAAAGGAGGGTCCCTCCTTTCCGGTTTATAGGGCTCAGTTCAAAAATCTCACCAACCATGATAGATGGTGAGTGATGGAATACTTTTTGTAATTTGCAAAAGCACCCAACTAATGCTCTTGTTTTCCTCAAAAAATTATGTCTACCAATGTATTAATTGCAATGCATGCATGCATAAAGTACATGCATTGGTCAATTTTCTCTTAATACTTGCATGCAATGATTTAATGCACCTTGGAATCTAAACTTTTGATGGGAAACAACCAAATTGAGCCTTATAAAATGGAAAAACTAAGATTTTGAGATAAACCTTATAAACCGAAAAGGAGGGAGTAACAATTGTGCTAATTAAACACTTTCATTGATGGAAGATTTCATGTGCAAATGCTCCACTTCGGTTAGGTATACCCGAAGTTGAAGTCATGATACCTTGTGTTATGATTGGTCTCGTTCTCCCAGCTCGGTCAGTGGAAGCATTTGTTCTAGTGGGAGTCATTGTAGTGCTGATGTTCATTGTTTAGAGAATTAACTAGATTGAGTAACAATTATTAGTTATTAATTATTTTTATTCAATAATTATGTATCCAAATTACTGATGTTGTTATTATTTTGTTATTATTGTCTTGAAATATTTAATTATGCATGTATAGTACACAAATGGAATAAAATAAACTAATAAATACAATGTAAATAAAAGTTAACCCAAATTAAAATAAGCATAAATATCTTATCTCCACACCCTCCATCTATCTCCACCCCGCGCCGCCACCGCCTCCGTCACCGGGTGGGTGGAGGGCTTGATATTATCTGGATGAGTGGTGGAGGCGTTGATAGTATTTGGCTGAGCAACGGGCTTGATATTATTTGGGTTGGCGGTGGAGGCTTTGATAGTATCTA